TTAGGTATGAAGTGAAGAGGGAGAGGAAGGAGAATAAAAGGGAGAGGGGGAAAAACAATATGGTAGATGATGGGAAGGGGAAGACTATTGAATAGAAATGAAGGCAGGTCAGATCAAGTAAAAGAGTCAGATGATCTTTGAAGGCTGGCCAGCATAATGGAGTTATCTGGGGAGGAGGGAAGTGGGGAGACAGTTGGTAGGAGAAGAATTGAGCAGTTGATTTATTAAGGATTCCACCAGTCTGTAGGCATAGAAATCAGTGGAAGGATAGATGCTTTATGCAGCTGTGTCCCAGTGATGGCAAAAGAGGATGTTATTGTAAGTCCCCTAGATTAGTGTACTTATATAAGAAAAGTGCTTGGTATGACTGACACAGCAGGCACAAGGAATAGTATAGATGCCCACCTTTGAGGTAGAGGGAGGGAAGAACTAGTGTGAATCAGGCTGAGGTGGAGTATTTACCTGGGGAAAGATTAGCCTACATTTGAGACGTTGAATAGAGTAGACTTAATCAGTGTAGGGCAGACTGAGAACGAGTAGGTGAGGTGTCTTTCTGGGGGAAGAGTTGTACATGAGTTTCCTTTATACTTCGAGAGAAATTGACAGTAGAAACATGACTTAAGGTATGCATAAAGGGGAGTCCTACTCACAATTCATTCTTTTCAGTGTACAGATTACCCACACACAGTGGGATATACATACACATCTTTTCTTACCACCAACTTTATGTGAAAATAGCTGGTGCTACTTCTTATTCTGCATTGTCTGCATCTTTGACCCCAAGTACCTGGGTGGAGCAGTCAAGAAGACACTACAGTAACTCCCTCTTTTGCCATCAGTGGGACATGGGCCATCAGATGAATTGGTCATGAATTGTCTTTCCTTCTGCTGATGTTGATTTTCACGGACTGATGGACTCCTTAATAAATCAACTACCCAATTTTAACTTGAATAGTGTTCTTTCTCCTGCTGAGTCTCATTGCTTTATTCTCAGATCACTCCCTGAAGATGAAATTGAGAAGGATTTCTAATTTTCCAGTAAATCTAGTTTGTGCATAGTATAGAGTGATTTACCATTCTAACATATTTATGAATATAAATTTATTGATTTATTTGCTTCATCTGTGTGTCAGTAGTCAGATTGTCTTTTCACAGTGTGGTTTGTTGTTGCCTGATGATATAAGTCCTGATTATTTCCAAATATATAGAAGATAGCTACTGGATAATATAATCTATTTGCATGAAATTTTGTATGCGCATGACAGAATCTGTTCAGTCACTGCTATGGTGAAGTGGTGTCTGCTACTCTCTATGACAAAGGCCGAACCCCAGAGGGCAAACCCATACCGAAATGTGGGCTTGTTACATTCCGTAATGTTGAAGACTGCAAAAAAGCCCTGTCGGTAGGGGTAAGTGGCAGGGCAATGATTGGCGCCATCCTTTTTTTTAATATTACATATACCCAGTCACATGTGTATAATATATGCATATGTATATACATATATGTATTTGTGTATTCACTATATATATATATATATATATATATATATATATATATATATATATATATATATATATATATATATATATATATATATATATATATAATGTATATGTATATGTGTGTATGTATGTATGTAAATATTATGCATCTGCTTGATAATTTTACACCAAATTCTAGATTACTCTCTAAACCAAGAAACTACAAAATCCTGAGGATGAAAACTCCAAGTCTCATGCTATTTATATAAACCTTTCAATGGCTGAAAAGCACCTGTAAAAAAAAATAATAATTTGGAATCTTCACAGGAAGGTGAGAAAGAAAGAAGTAGAGAAAGAGGAAGAAATAATAAGATAAATAAATAAAATGATAATTTACTCTTTTTACAGCCAATCACAGTTGGTAATCATACCTTGAACGTCCAGGCAAAGGAGAGCAAAAAACCAACCAAACCACCCAGCCTTGCTGTTGGTAGTCTGGCCAGCACTGTTGGGGAACCTGCCACAGTTGGCAGTCACTCAGCATATGGTTTGAGTGACATCTCTCTTAATGCTAATGCCGAGGCCAGCAAGACATCTGTTGGCCCTCTGCCTTCCCCAATACTGCACCCACCTAGTACAACCACAGTAACAAAGCCTAAATTTCAGGTGATTTGACAGATTTTCTTGTGATTTAGAAGCTTTGATTGTATGTTTGTCCATTAGCATTCCTATGTTTCATTGCACTTTGGTTCATTTCTTAAAATGCCAGAAATTTATGGTTCTTGGAAACCCTTTTAGTTCAGCTGATAAGAATCAAGGGAAAATATGTGAAATGGACAATATTTTCTTTTTCTAAAATATCAATATTTGTTTCCTGGAACTTCTTTGATACAGCTTACTGTAATTTCAAAAAAGAAAAAAAAAATTATCTTTAAAAGTTAAGTTGTAAAATTGATTTCAAGGTCTGCTACTTATCTTTTGAAGTAAGGAATTGTAGACATTCATATAATGAGATAGGATATGCATCAGTGAAAGTTCTAATAATCATTTGAAATAACTTAGAGAAGTAAATCAGATCCTTCATGACTTTGTTAATACCAAAAACCTTCCATTCCCAGAACCTTACAAGTAACAATTCTGTGGGAGCCATTGGTACTCCTCCTCCAAAACTGGTGCGGCCACTACCAAGGCAGCCTCCAAATGCTGTGAAAGGGTAGGATTTGCTTTTTTTTATTATTGGAAGAGTCCTAAATACTGCAATTCATTTTAATGTTATTACTGATGTGTAAAAATTTTCTCTGTGTGAGTTTATTACATTGTGAATATTAGCTTAACCCATCACTGCTGGGTAACAGAAATCCCTGAGAGTGATAGACTCTGGTGATTTCTGGCAACAGCCAGACACTGGGCACAGGAGTCCACTACATCAAGTGGAATGTCCCACTCCATGTACTCTGGCACGTTGCCGCCTATACAGGTGTACCCCGCAGACCAAGCGGTTTGTTTTGACGCTAATATACTTGACCCATCTGAAATGGGTTGATGAATATTAGGATACTATGGCAGTTTTAGTGAAATAGAAAAAGAAAGGAAGGGGGAAAAAAGTAAAGACAGTAATGATAATATCTTAAATACAGTAAGTCCCCAACTTAAGAATATAATGGGGACCGAGAGGCTGTTTGTAAGTTGATTTGTTTGCATGTCGAAAGTTGGGTCTCCATTACCTTATTTCCCATTGTTTTAAAGTTTTGTTTACATTAAGAACACCTGTAAATAAATCCCAATAAGTACGACATACCTTATACAGTACCAGCCTCTTGAACTATGTTCGTGCCCAGGAAATTTGAAGTTTGCTAGCATCTTTCAAACAATTTTTTGGACTTTAGTACTTAAAAAATTTTGTTTGTATGTATGGAATATTCATAAGTAGAATGTTCCTAAGTAGGGGACTATCTGTATATGGTTTAAAGGCTTTCTGAACGATGATAATCTTTTAATTTTAATAGATAAGTTGAAATTCAAGTTGTAATAAACTAAAGGTTGTGAATTTATTCAGGTTAACAAAATCTGTTGCTCAAAAATATACTTTCTTTCTAGTGCTATCCCAAATCCTGCATCAAAGGATGACTCCGTCACAAGTACAGCGTCATATAAGCGACTGATAGAAATCTGCAAGCAACGCGTAGGAAAGGAATACTCATCGTAAGTTGGATGGATTTAAAAAATATATATTTTTTTAAGTGAAGGAAGACAAGAAAATTGAGATATTTCTATTCAGAGTTCTGGTCACTGGTCTAATTTGATTATGTAAATTTGTCACAAGGATCTCATGCTGTAATCAGTTTTTGTAGCACATATTGGTATGGACCAGATGTTATAAAATTAAGTACACGACTTAAGCTTTTATTCAGTATATTGTTGTATTTACTTTACAGACCAGAGGTGTGTAGTGCTCTTCGAGAAGTCCGCATTCAGAACAACAAGAGTCTTTCAGGCCTGAATGTGGATATGATAGTAGATCGAGTAAAGGCACACCTGAAGTCTCGACGTCCTGGTTCTGGACAGGCTACACTAGCTCCGTGGGCCTCCCTCACTCAGTGTCCCAAGAGTGGAAATGGAGGACCAGAGTGGCAGGGCCCTGGAGGGGATGAAGGGAGTGCTCCTGAAGAACAATGTTCCATCTGTCTTGAAGCCCTGAATGCATGCCCAACTGTTCCACTCCAGTGCCAGCACGTTTTCCATGAGAAATGTATTAAGGATTGGTTGAAACGCCAGTCAAATTGCCCCAATTGTCGTACTTTTGCTCTAATGACTGACGAGTATCCTTCTCTCACGCACTCGTAAAAGTTGGTAACTCATTTATTGTGATAATGTGCCTTTCATTAATATGAAAGTTCATTATTCAGTGTAGGATATATTCTGACCACATCTGGATAGTGGTTAACTTGACTTAATAAGAAGTACTTTGATATGTGTATAGATTATAAGTAAAAACTTGCTCTACTCTTTTTGTATTAAATGAAACTGGCTGATGAATTATTAAACTGTAATAATTCAATGGCCTGAAATTTGCACAATTACATTGTTGGTGTGCCTTAATTCCAAAAGATAAAGAAAAAAAGAAGAAAAAAAAAAAGGAAATATATTTTTTCTATGTATCAATTTCCATTGTACTGTGGTGAAACTTTGGGAAGCATGTAAAAATGCTGTGCTCCAATTACAATAAATCATGCTTACTCCCATAGAATTTTTATCATCTACAGTTAATTGGAATAAGTTTGTATGGAAGTAGCTTGTGGGTCAGCCTGATATGTTAAAATGGGCTTTGTTTTCTGTTCATTTGTATTTTTTTTTAAATAGGTTTATAACAGTGGATGTGTAATCCAGTGGATTTTAATTTTTTATTTTATTTTACTTTTTAATTAGTTTGAACTGAATATTCAGTTTGCAATCATTTGTTTGCAGCTTGCACATTCCTATTGGTGCAGTGCCTTTTTCCGGAAGCTGAAATAAACAGATTTCTGATTTTTGGTCATGTATATTTCTCTAATATCATTTTCAAAAATACAGATGAAAAATAACAGCATCTGCATGTGGATTATTTTCTACATTTTAAAATCACACATTTCATTTGGCAACCCCCAGGTAATAAAAATACTTTACATTATATAGGTTAGTCCATTACCTTCAGTGTGAAGATTATAGATCACTTAGCATTTTTCTAACAATAAACAAACAATAATCAAACAAGATAATTTCCATAAAAAATAATGAATATAAGTAATTATTATTGTTTACTTCTAATATTGAACTTTTTATCTTTTAACAGTTATATCAACACGTAAAAAAGAAAAGGGATAACAGCAATAATGACCTTAAGCTCAGTATTTCCATGTTTGCTAAGAATGGCATATGATTTCCACAACCGATATTTGTGGTATAAAGTAGTCCGTGGTAGTTGCAGATCATTGACTTTTCAAAATTAAGGAAATTTACACTGAATCTTGGCTATGAATGCCTAACAACAATAATGAGAGGACGCATGGATGGTGGACAAAGATTAACAAATGGGCCAAAAAGAAAAATAGAAAAGAAAAAAAAGAGAAAGAAAGAAAGAAAAAAAAGAAATGAGAATGAGACATTTCTATGAACAAAGAATCCAAATCTGAAGGGCCACTTGCTGACCCGCCCAAAATTAGTTTTGATAATTTTGAAGCACACAGCATCTTAATTTGACAAGAAAAAGGTTTCTATGAATATTAAATGCTACTTTCTGTAAAGAAACACTCTAACTTAGTGAAAATAGGTATTATATTCATGCAATCAATAGACTGGAGAATACATGTAAAAAATGGAAAAAAAAAAAAAAAAATTGATGATTACTGGAATTCCCTGAAAGAATGAATGGAAGGAGGAGGTATGGTGGTGATGACCCAAATTATTTCTACCATGTTAACAGGAACATTTATTTATTTATTTATTTTTTAACTGGCCCTACATTATTAATGAAGACACTTAACAAGAAACATATAGCCAAGTATACAAAGATCTTAGTTCTTTATTTAGCAGCTTGTAAGTTAAATCAGAAAGGCCATCATTTCTATTGTTTTCTGCCCAAAGATGTGCATATCGCTCCTGGGAAGGTGTGGCTTTGACATGGGATAGCATGACATACTTTGCTACTCCTGGGTCAAAACGAATGATATGTAACCCTCTTTTCTCAAAGCGATTGTAAAAGTCATCATCCTCTGCTCCCCATCCGTAGAACTTGTTTGCAAATCCATCGATTTCTTCAAAGTGTACTTTCTGAACAGCCACAGCTCCTCCTAACAGACGGCGATATGGAAGCTGGTACCTGCAATATGGTGAAGAAGATTGGTATTAGAAAAGTATAGCACTCAGTCTCAAAGAAGGCTGTTCAGTGTTTCTTTGAAATGTGTACATGTAACTGCAAGTGTGTATTAGACATGAATACAGTCACCCTAAAAGGTCCTAATCCTCTAGGTGAGCATGCATGAACTACTCCCTCTCTTCCTGTATGGCAGATTACAACCAAGGTGATTTTACAATATTTCGCAAGGACAAGGAATATTCCACTGAATGCCCAAAGCAAATTTTCCAGTAAATTTGAACCTGTGCAGAATACCCCCACAATCCCTTGCTCGCTGTTGCTTTGGGGTGATTAGGAGGCGAGACTGAAGCCCAATGCTGTGATTACCCCTGCCTTGGGCCTCAGCCCTCGCCTCAACTAATTTTGCAGGGTCTTTTCCTCTCCCTCTTTCCTTTTTTTTCTATTGTTCATCCCCTTCTATCCACTTATCCAAATTGTTAACTCTTATTTACCTGTTTTGCAACAATACTTTACCATAATGCTGTGTAACCTTTGATGTTAATACATTTGTTTGTTTTGACCATTGACCATTCTGGAAATCCACAAACATTGCCTTACTGAGTCAAAAAACTTTACCTTGGGGCTTTGCCCCCAAGTCCTATCTTATTGTTATATTTTGTATACGCTGCTAATGACCTTAGATGTTGACGTGGCAGAAAATTTTCAATAAATAAACATGGAAAAACCTGTTAGGAAGTGTCACTGTGAGTGATATAGGCTGCTGGTGTCATTTGTGTTCAATATGGCTTGCACTATTTCAGACTTCTCACTTTCAAATAGCCAAGTAGTATTGATTGATATCAATTTGAAAAGTAACTTATAAGCTGAGTGGCAGACAAAAGGAGTTGATAAAAAGTTTTTTCTTGTGGACAGACAATGGTTTTGGCTCCCAAATGGAGTCCACTGAGAACACAATTCCCATGGTGGCCACAGTAACCCTCCCCCATACTCCTGATGATTATCCCCTTCTTTTTAATTGATAATTGGTCCTCTATCGTCATAATCCCTGTGTGAGATATAACAATCCATGTCCCACACTGCAACTCCCTGTCTTGTCCCTTGGCTACCCATTCTACCCAAACTGCCCACCCCCATCCCCACTCTGGTGCCTATCTTGACCTTTTTTTACTCTGTGATATATGTTTGATATGAACTTGAATTAAAGATATGAAGAAAATCATGCCTCACATCCTTTGACCATCCATTCCTACTTACCCATCTCATGCCCAGTACTTATCCTATTTCCTACTGGCCTGTTCAATGTTTGGTAAATATTTTATATTAATACTAGAAACATGCCTTCTTATATCTGCATAACTTTTGGAACAGGCTGTGTTAACCAGTATCTGGATCAGAAAAATGCTATCATGGTATCTAAAGTTCTACTTACTTGATGAAAGATGGAAAATGGTCTGGCTGGGGGTCACAGGCATATGAATATACCATATATTAACAAATCCAGAATGGTTAGTGATTTAAACAAATATATGTGCCATCAAAGGTCATACAGCACTATGGTAAAGTATTGTGCTGAAAGGGGTTTAAATGAGTTCTTTGTTAGAACAAACTGTGTTAGATTTCAATGGCCATATAGCATTATACGATAGATAGTATGGTAGTGAAAGGGGTAAAAGGATGGGGAGAATAGGGCAGGACAGGGATTGATAAAAAGGGGGAAAGGTTAAGGACAAAGTGATTAGATCAAATGGAGGTAGGTGAACAAACCGTCAATTGAAAAGGTGGAGGATTTCATGAGGATGTCCAACAGGTGTGTCTGTATGTATGTATGTATGTGTGTGTGTGTGTGTGTGGGGGGGGGGGGCAGGTAAGGTAAAGTAAGGGTACAGGCTCCATTTAAGTGGGGGTAGGATATGTGGGACTGAAAGAGAAATACTGGATGAAGAGCATAAAGGTGGCTTGGATTGTAACTTGAGGTCTGAATGTGTGAGGTGGGCGTAACCTCATTCATAAACGGACAAGAGCAAGATCCAAAAATGGTTCTTATGGTACAGATGACTGAATAAATTTGAGATCACCCTATGGTTACTGAGCGGGGATTTTATCTGGTAACACTAGTGCATGCAAGTATAAAAATATAAACTCTGTTGTAAAATAAACTGTTTAAAAAGTCTAAATAAACTTTGGCACATATTTTAATACTCAAAATCAAATGATAAATAAGTAGATAAAGAAGCAGACATTCCTTATATTAATTTCCTAATTTGATGTTAATGTACTCACTTAGCCATACTGCTTACTGCTTACACTCGCTAAAGGTTCCATGAAATGTATTAAAAAATAATCACAGTAAAATTAAAAACTATTGCCTATATTTGCCTTTCTCTGAAAAGTATGTATAAATTAAAATGATAGAAAGAATTATTATATATTGACAGGTCATATTACTATCTAGTATATATTCCCCTTCTGTTTCCATAACATTTAATCATCAATAACAATTTAGGCTAAACAGAGCTGCAGCTAACTGACAGATGTGAAAATAGCACACTTATTAACTGATGTTTTAAAGGAATTACATAACAAAGAATAATTTATGTTACTCAATCATTTTATGACAAAATAAGGGAGAACAAATAATATTTTGGGAACATTTGTTTTTGCTCTCAACGAATGTTTAGGTTAAATGGAAATCAACCTCTATATGTTATGGACAGGGAAATGGAAGTATAGGGAAAAGACAATTATATATATTTACACACTTAAATATTCACTTCATTTATTTATTTTCATTATTATTATTATCATTATCATTATTATTATTTTTGAACATTCATCCTTTAGCAAGAGTAAGTTGTATGGGGGCATTAACATTCTGGAAAAAAAAAGATAAAGACATGAAAAGTCTATTTTTTTAAAATAGGGTTTCATATGCATATTCATTTCAAATATTAAATATGTGACAAAATATGTTTAGACTATTTTTTGCATTGTTTATTTAACCCAATGCCGCTGGGAGGTTTCCCGATGCAAAAGCCCTCTCTCATGGGCTGCATTCATAGTGGCCCGGGCTCTGTTGCCGGGGGATTGTGTTGGCATCACAGCATGCGTGGCATGATTGTACATGCCCCAGGAAAATGGGACTGGTGCACCATGGCACGTATGCACAGGCCACCCGGCGGGAAGGGGTTAAGAAGAGGGTTTATATTGTTATATTTGAATGTACTACAATATTACCAGATATGCACTAAAACTTAGTGCCCTATGCTTAAGTCCTCTTGAGATTGAGACAGATCAGACAAAATCTAGGCTCAATTATATTTGGGTAGCTGTACTATAATTAAAGAATTGATTTAATCTAATAATTAAAAAATTGATTTAATCTTAGGAATAGTTTGGATTACATTGCCTGCCACAAAGATTTAACTGTTGAGAAAACTGTGTCACCAAACAAGCACTGATGACATCAGAACAGGCATTTTTATTTCCTTAAGCCCTTTCCTTTCACGTTCATTTATTATTCATTCTCTTTCTCCCCAGTTTGATGTGAAAAGTGGGCATCAATGGCTTTAGTATTCACTACTATTTTTTCATTATATTCTTACATACATTCTGAAAAGCACATGGAAAAAATCTTGCTAACCTGAAAGTATCAATAGCAGAATACATGTGTCGTGGATTATGGGTGCATGCATACACATTGAGGTCATTTTGTGGCAGCAGATCCACGTCATGAAAGATGAAACAGTCAACCTGGGCCAGCTTATTGGTCTCGACAAATCCAATATTCAAGAGTTTTGCTCTATTAAACTGCTTCTCGTCTGTTTGTTCCACAACCACAATTCTGTGTTGGAATGAGACAATAAGAAAAAATTCAATATGAAAAGAATATATCATAATCATGATCTCAGTGGCTAATATCTTTAACACAACTAAATCTGTTGTATGCCTTTGCCATATCCAAAACTTACATCACTGTTGTGAATGGGCAATACAGTATGAGATTATTTCCTAGTAATCATATTTCGTTATACTTGAAAGAGAGAACCTGAAACAAATACATGTAATTAATCCATTGTTTTCTCGAATACACATTTACCTATAGTTCAACTGTTGCCTCATGAGAAATGGGTGCATATACGTCAGGAACTGCTGGAGGTGCAGACTCCTATTTCGGTAAGGAATGACGATGGCAACCTGGAGAGTTGATTAAAGTTGAAAAATAATTTCTTTTCAAAGACCTACTACACTCAATATAGCAGAAAAAATAAGACAGTTGGAAAAAGGAGTAAAAAGCAAAATATAAAAAGCTTATAATAAAGCTGGGGTTCCACTAGCCTTGTCCGACTCTGGTACAGCAGGATGAATAAATTTGTGGCCACCCAAAGTGTAGTAAGCTAGGACTTCATCTGTTAAAAGTCGTGGATTATGGGTGCAGCATACACATTGAGGTCATTTTGTGCAGCAGATCCACGTCATGAAAGATGAAACAGTCAACCTGGGCCAGCTTATTGGTCTCGACAAAGCCAATATTCAAGAGTTTTGCTCTATTAAACTGCTTCTCGTCTGTTTGTTCCACAACCACAATTCTGTGTTGGAATGAGACAATAAGAAAAAATTCAATATGAAAAGAATATATCATAATCATGATCTCAGTGGCTAATATCTTTAACACAACTAAATCTGTTGTATGCCTTTGCCATATCCAAAACTTACATCACTGTTGTGAATGGGCAATACAGTATGAGATTATTCCTAGTAATCATATTTCGTTATACTTGAAAGAGAGAACCTGAAACAATACATGTAATTAATCCCTTGTTTTCTCGAATACACATTTACCTATAGTTCAACTGTTGCCTCATGAGAAATGGGTGCATATACGTCAGGAACTGCTGGAGGTGCAGACTCCTATTTCGGTAAGGAATGACGATGGCAACCTGGAGAGTTGATTAAAGTTGAAAAATAATTTCTTTTCAAAGACCTACTACACTCAATATAGCAGAAAAAATAAGACAGTTGGAAAAAGGAGTAAAAAGCAAAATATAAAAAGCTTATAATAAAGCTGGGGTTCCACTAGCCTTGTCCGACTCTGGTACAGCAGGATGAATAAATTTGTGGCCACCCAAAGTGTAGTAAGCTAGGACTTCATCTGTTAAAACTAGTGTATTCCAGTATAACCATATAAGCCCTATTGGTTATGTTGATGTTGCCTGGGATGGCATGTGTCATGCCCACTTGGAGTTTAGTTTATTAATAGTCTTTACACAAAGTTGGGTCCACAAGTACTAAATCACTAATGAGCCAGTTACTAGTACTACCTGTCTCACTACTATTTTCCTTGATTTTCAGACATATTTTCTTGTATCTTGCTGTTAATAATGTCTATAATAATAATAACAGAATTGATAGTGATAGAATTTGAGAAAAAAATCCTGAAAACTCAAAGGAAGGTGAAATCGAGTGAGGTTACATGGTCTACCAACTGACTCCTTTGCGGCCAAGCACTTGTGGAGCCATTTTACGTGCAGAGACATTTTACAAAACAATATTACAGTGAACGCAGCATTTTCCTAGCAATATGTGGTTATATAATCAATGTTAACCAATGTCTAAACAAGCTTTCACTCACAATTTTATATTTGAAATGAAATAATTAAGGTTATGATGAAACTGACATTTCACTTCTGAGAAAGTTATATCATCTATTTACTTATATATTTTATTCTATTTAAAATAAATTTCACAGTAGCATTTATCTGCTAGCAAGTGTACACTGTGTGCAATATATAGTGAGAGCATTATAATTCCATTACAAAATTAAGACTGGGAATGTATATTTCTCCATATACTTTCTTATGCATTTTATTTCAAATATCAGCATACGAGTGTAAAAAATTGCTTAGACTTTTTAAACATTGTTCATTTTACAACAGGTTTTAGATCATTATACTATAGTCCACTATTGTTACCAAGTAAAATCCCAGCTTGATAATCTTAGGGTGGCCACATATTTATTTGACTAGCTGTACCTGACACTAGATTATCACCCACTTTGGCCAGGCCTAAGTGCATTGTCAGGAACCATAGTGCATCCTATCTCTAGAAAAGGGGAAGTGGCAACTCACTCTGGACACTGAAGTATTACGATTTGCCTTTTCTTTTATAT